CCCGCTTTGATATCGTGGCACCTCCCCCCCCCCCTCGTTTTTATTCCTCTTGCGTTGACTTACTGGCCTCTGACATTGTGCCCCTTCGGGGATCGGCTCATTGGTAGTCAAATATGCACTTTCATGGGTGACTGACAATCCCACTAGTTCCGTCATTCTTTACAGTTAGTTATGTCTTTGCTTCCTTCCCTCCTCCCTCGACCTCGGCCCCGTCGCGGAAGACGCCGTACTTTTTTTCCCCCTTACTTTCTTTTTATTTTTCCTTTTCCCTCCCCCTTCCGCCAACTCACCAGAGTGGGGCACGGAACGCCAAGGAGTCACTGTGCAGTCGCGCGGGAAGCCCGACATGGCGCATCCAACGCCCCGCAAAGGCAGCAGTAAAAACGCAGGAGGGCTCCCCACAAAAAAAAAACCCCCCACACACACGCACGCACGCCGATCCCTTCATATGGATCCCCAGTTTCCTGATGGGACCTGTGAGAGGCTGGTGTGGACAAAGCCACAACCCTCCATGTGACGATTTCTTTGAGATACACTCAGATGTGCTATAAGAGCGTGAGCCTCTGCGGCAGTGCCCCACACTCACGCGCCACAGTTCAAACACTCTCCATTAGTCAGTGCCGAAGAGGATGACTGTGCCTGACTCTCCTCCTTTATGCCCTTCAAGGTTTTTGGATCCACGGTGAATTTGATCGCGTCGGCCGCCGGTTTGCTCCGCAAGTAGTACATACCCGTCTTGAGGCCCTGTTCCCACGCAAAAAAGTGCATGGAAGTCAGTTGGCTGGAGGTTGGATTTTCCAAAAACAAGTTCAGGCTCTGGCTCTGGTCAACGTACTTGCCGCGGTCCGCAGCCATTTCAATGAGGTCCCTCTGCCGCAACTCCCACACAACACGGTAGAGCTCCTTTAGTACAGGTGGAATGCCCTTGATGTTTTGCACCGAGCCATTGTGGGCAATGATCTGGTTGCGCATCTCATCGTCCCACAACCCCAGCTCGATGAGATCCATCACAAGGTATTTGTTAACCACAGGGAACTCGCCGCTCAGCACGCGGCGCACGTAGATATTTGAGGTGAAGGGCTCAAAGCACTCGTTGTTTCCAAGAATCTGCGAGGTGGAGGCAGTTGGCATGGGTGCCAACAGTAGCGAATTCCGCATCCCAGTTTCCTTCACTCGCTGCTTCAGTGCAGCCCAATCCCAGCGTCCACTTCGTGGCTTCTTCTCCCAGAGATCAAACTGCAGCAGTCCCAGCGATGCGGGACTGCCCGCAAACGTCTCATATGGTCCATCCACCTCTGCGAGTTCCACGCTTGCCTCCACAGCACCGTAGTATATTGTCTCAAAAATTTCCTCATTCAGAGCCCTGGCTTCCTTACCGGTGAAAGGTAGCCGCATCAAGATAAATGCGTCCGCCATTCCCTGCACGCCAATTCCAATCGGCCGATGGCGCTTGTTGCTTTCTTTCGCCTCTGGTACAGGATAGTAGTTACGATCAATAACACGATTGAGGTTTCTCGTCACAATCTTCGCGACTTCGTACAACCGTTGGTGATCAAAGCTGCGCCTCTCCTGATCCACAAAGCGTGGGAGAGCAATGGAGGCAAGGTTGCACACAGCAACCTCCTTCTCGGAGGTATACTCTATAATCTCCGTACAAAGGTTCGAGCACTTTATGACCCCAGCATTCTTTTGATTCGATTTGCGGTTGCATGCGTCTTTGTAGAGCATAAAAGGCACACCTGTTTCTATCTGTAGCTCGAGTATGGCAAACCACACTGACTGAGCCTGAACAACCTTCACACCACGGTTTTCCTTTTCGTACCTTTCGTACAACGCCTCAAAATCTTTCCCGTAGCAGTCACTCAGCCCTGGCGCCGTGTGGGGGTCCATCAGTGTCCACGTACCACCGCTCTTCACACGCTCCATGAAGAGGTCAGGGATCCAGAGAGCGTAGAACAAATCTCGCGCGCGCTGGTCCTCCTTCCCCGTGTTTTTCTTAAGAAGGAGGAAGTTAAAAATATCAGCATGCCACGGCTCCAAGTAGATGGCGAAGGCACCCTTCCGCTTGCCACCCCCTTGGTCCACGTAGCGCGCTGTGTTGTTCCAAACACGCAGCATCGGCACAAGTCCGTTGGACATGCCATTTGTCCCTGCAATGTAACTGCCCCGGCAACGGATATTGTGCACGTGGACGCCAATCCCGCCAGCGGACTTACTTATAACGGCACATTGTTTCAAAGTGTCATAGATCCCCTCAATACTGTCTTCACGCATTGCAACAAGGAAGCAGGAACTCATTTGCGGGCAAGGCGTTCCGGCGTTGAACAGCGTCGGCGTGGCATGGGTGAAGTCTCCAAGAGACATATGATCATACGTCTCCTTCACGCGCTCCAGATCGTCACCGTGAATACCAAGGGCCACACGCAGAAACAAGTGCTGTGGCCGCTCCACCACTTCACTCTCACCATGCCCCCGCTGCGCACGCAGGAGGTAGGACCGTTCGAGCGTTTTATAGCCAAAGAACTCAAATCGTAAGTCTCGTTCATAATCCACAATACCCTGAAGCTGCTCATGGTGCTTTTGAACGAGTTCCCACAGTTCCTCCGATATCAGAGGTGCTGGCCGGCCCGTACCATGAATTTTATGATCGTGGAGGATAGAAAACGTCTCCAGCACGGACGCCTTGGTCGTTTTGTGCAGCCCCGTCACGCAGAGACGACCGCCGAGAAGGCTATAATCTGGGTGCTTTGTTACCGAGTAGGCTGCGGTCTCAGCGATGAGTTTGTCCAGGTTCGTAGTGGAGATTTCATCGTGCACGCCGCTCTCCACCGTCTCCGTCAGGGACTTCAAGTCAACGTACCTCGAGTCCAACCCATGGGACACGCGCTCGATCCGCGCAAAGACCTTTTTTGTATCAAAGTTCTGCAAGCGGCCATCGCGCTTCCGCACCCTCAATTCTCCTTCCATCCTCCTCTCCCTTAATACCCGGGAATACACCAAGAAATATATCAACAGCCCTCAATAAACACCTTCCCTTCCAGTGTGTGTGTGCGTATGTGTGCGAATGTGTATGTGTATTTGTTGTTGTTGTATTTGGTTGTTGTTTTTGTTGTTATTTTCTTCTTCCGTTTCGGTTGCCCTCTTCTGTGTTATGAGCTCCTTCCACGCCACCAGCAGACAGCCAGCAGGGAGAAAAGACGCGCGATCGGTGCGGGAGCCAAAGGGTCCCACCACGTGTTCGTGGACCCGGTAACGCACTTGCAGAAACAGAGGAGGAAATAAAGTGGCACGCACAGCCACGCGTGACTCCGCCTCATTTTGGGCTCATGTGGTCCCCCACTGGGGATGGGGAGGAAGGCGCCGAGCGCTCCGGGGCGCAGCCGCAGCCGAAAGGGGGCGGAGAAAGCGCGCGCGCGGAAGGCTCCAAGCATCCTCGCGGTCCCTGCGCGTCCATCACGCAACCCACGTCAGGTTCCCCACCTTCCTTTGCCCTCTGCTTCCTTCCTGCTTTCGTTCATGCTTTGCTTTATTAGACGTCGGTGCTGGCTCAAGCTCGACTCCGTTTCGCCCGCCACTGGGAAAAAGCTCCCGTTTACCTTCTCGTTTTGGTTTTTCTTTCTTTTTTTTTACTCACTCTCCCTCCTCCTCCCAGCCGCTCCACTCGGGTGGTTCATTTCCCCCCTCCTCCTCCGCTGTTACTCGCCCCCAGGGGCATCTCCGGCGGCTCCGCTCAGAGGCAACTGAGCCGCAGAAAGCGGCGAAGCTCGCATGGATCGTCGCCTGCCGAAATCTCCCTCGCACCTCCCAGCCACCCTGAAGCTCCTAGTCCAGCCGCGTCTCGAAGTCCCAGACCTGCGCAAAGACCTGCACCGGTCTCGGTCCCACGCAACGCAGCGTGTAACTACCGGGGGGCAGAATGACACGCACCTTTTCAATATGTCCCTCCTCCACAGAAGCCACCGTTAACCACCGCGAGGCACGCTGCACCGCACCAATAACCCCGAGCGAAGGATTCGCTTTGAGATCCAGGTAAACCCTGCCACTACTCTTGCTGTTGGGCCTGTGCTTCCCAGCAACACCGCCCGTGAAGAGGAAACGAGGCGCCTTACACGACTGTGACGCCACTCCAGTTAGCTGGACGCGGCAGCTCACGTCCACGGAGACGGCAATGTCGGGTTCAACCTCAAAGGAGAGCCCCTTCTTGGCAACCGCCTCCGTCTCCGTAAACCAGTAGCGGTGATTCATGGAGCGCGGAGGTGGCTTGACAAAGCGCACCTTGATGCCATCGCGGGCAAAGGAGATGTGCTTTCGCGGACGCTTCGCTCCCGCCCGCTCCCCAACGCTCCCCAGCGGTCCACCCCTCGAGCGCTGCATGCGCGTCGCGCCAACCCGCGGCTCTCTCGCCTCCGCACTCTTTGGCAATCCAAAACTCACCTCTGCGGAAGGCCCGCCAAAAAAAAAGGGGGGGGGGAAAAGACGATTCCAACCTTGCGTCAGAAACCCCCTGCTAAACGTGGGACGCGGAACAGGAAACGGAAAATGGGAAAAGGCAAAGGAAAGCAACTGCACCCACGCACAAGGGCGGGCGGAGTCCAGAAGGAGATTAGGCTGCACACGGAAAGAATGCGTGTGGCGCCGTCCCAGAAGTTGTGGAAGGGTATGCGCACGGGCTGTTGAGTAAATTGCCTTTTCTTGAAAGTCGCCGGCCCGCTCGCCCTCTACTAATGCGATTCAGTGACATGTGCATAATAAAAAGAAGAAGAGAAAAACAGAAACAAAAAAGGGCAGGGACAAATAAAAACACTAGTGCTGGAAAGCGTGTTGCCTCTCAGAATAGTCAATGGTTTCCGTGTTTTTCCTCCGTAGAACACAGGGATTCATTGCGCGCGCACGCACGCGGAGAGAGAGAGAGAGAGAAACTTGCAATCTCTTCCACATCCTCCCTCCCCCACCCTCTATTCGTCTTGGTTTTTATCCTGCTTGTTGTCCCGTCTTTTTTTTTTTCGTCCTTTTCTTTTCAAATACGCGTCAATTTTATTAGTATGCACGACGCATCAAGCGGGGAGCGGCGGAAGGGTCCAAAGACGAACATGCCTGCCGTCTGCCCGACCACTCGTCGCCAGCCCCTCCCCATGCTGCACAAAGACCACATGCTCCACGCTATCCCCTTCGTGACAGTCATGCAGCTCCACAACAGGCTCCAGGGTGAAGAGTCCGCTTGGTGAAACGTGCGCAGAGGTTTGACGGTACACCGTTACGTTGCGGCCCTGAAAGAGCGCAATGGCCAAACGCTCGTGGTACGAGCTACCATAGAGGCAAAATGTCATGTGCACACGACACGTGGCATCCCACCCAGCAAAGGAGGAGTCCTGGAAGCAACCAACAAGAGCAAGTGAACGCTCCGTTTTGGAGTTCACCGTTTTCGGCGCAATGTCGTAAATGTGTCCTACGCCTCCTTCCGTGAAGACAATCAGATACTCGCGTGTGTTAAACTCCGGAACGTTCTTGGAGGTCAGACACAACGCTGACACCCGCACCTTCGCATTGTCCTCCACGTGCACGCTATCTATCAGCTGGATCCCGTTTCCGTTGGGACGCACCTGCAGCGTCGCCACGCGCGGCTCTTTAAGAAAAGATCCGGCCGCCGCGATGGTGCTGTCGCGCTGCGCCCAGGCCAAGGCGTTTCCCACTGCAAATTTCGTCTTTCCAAGGAACTCCACCGACTGAAGGCTGAACACTTCCAACTCGCAGTCCTTGTCGTGCGTCATAACAATGAGGTCATAGGCTGCACCGGCTACCCCCCATGGAGGCAGCGTCGAGACCAGCATGTGGCGGGGCAGCTTACATGACGACTGCAGAGTCAACTGGCACCTACCGTTGATGCTGAAGAGAAAGAACGTATCACTGTTCCTCTCACTTACCACGAGTCTTTCGCCGTCGTGGGAAAAGGCAGCCGAGTGCACCTCCACCCTCGCTTCCTCTCCCATAGCAGACTTGACGGCCTCGTCGACAGAAACAAAGTGCTTCTCCTGTAGCTCCTTTCCACGCGCCATGAAGGCGCGATTTCTGTTCTGTGGGTACAGTCGGGCCCTTCGCTTGCTACGGCAATTAATAAACAGATACCGTTGGCACGGCGATACCATGATGGCGTCCACTTCCGGGTATCCGCGCAGCACAGAAGTAGGCTGAACAGACTCCTCACTTTTCGGCTCCCCTTTTACAGTTGCTCTGCCAGCGAGATTCGTTTTGCGTTGGGCCTTTGCGCGCTTCTGCTCTGGTGGAGCTGCTGCCGCTGGGGCCTCTGTCACGGAGACAGCCCCGGCGCCGCTGCCGTTCACCGACGACGCAGACGAAAGACGCGGTCGCCGCAGCCAACAGGCGGCCCACGCCACTGCCACCCCCACCGCCGCCGCGAAGCACAGGGGCAGCGCAACCCCCAGCTCGCTAAAGGCGGCGGGAATTTGCCTCGTCAGCAGCTCACTGGCGCTCATTCCCGCCCACGGAGCGTCACAGTCAACGCACACTCCACGGCGTCAACCTGAAAAGTAGAAGCGGGGGAAAGGGGATCCTCCCTCTGCGGCACCCACAACGGGAGCCAAGGCAAAAGGAAGCAAAAAAAAAAAGACGCACGTGCACCTTTCAGTGCGGCACAGCAAGCATTCGTCACGGATACCCGAGCAAGCGCAGCAACAAAAATAACATATACATAAATACATATATAATAAACATTATAACACGCGGCGACTTCACCAACACTTGCGTCTCCGACAGTGACGACAGGAGCGCCCAGACCACCACCCATCCCCCTCATGATTCTTTCTTAGCGTTGAGGAACACCGCAGAACGGGCAGTAGAATAACGACGATGCGTTTGCGTCAATAAGGATCCGCTCGTCCGAGGCACAGCTCGTACATTTTAAATGAAATGAAATGAAAGGCGCATCACTATCTTCCAACACGACGCGCTCCTGCGCCTCACCGGCATTTGTGTCCCCCATAAAAGAGTTTCCGCTTGCCGACGCTCCCTGCACTCCCTCCTCACCGCTGCGCTGCATCAGCTGAATGCATTCTGGGTTGAAGGACAACCTAAGCGACGTCCTCTCGGCGGGTGGACGAGGCGGCCGGCTAAGCAGCAGCTGGCGTATGTCGCCCGCCGTCGCGCCATCAGGAACTTGATGCAGCTTCGCCGAGAAGTCCAGGAGTCGTGCCACGTGAGGCGTCGCAGGTAACTCCGCTGCGGCGGGTGGCGACGGCGTCAGCAAAGGAAGCGTCTCTTCAATGTGCCCTCGCAGGCGTGAGCGTATTTGCCCCAGCCGTTCCCGGTGCCGCGCGCGCAGATCAGCAAAGGCAGGGCTGCGCGTTGGGGACACCACACCCCTGCTGGAGGGCTCCGCCGCGGCAGCGAGGTCGGTCGCAGTCGCCTCTGGCGACAACATGACGGCAATATAGTTCATACGTGCATTGAGGAAAACACCAGCAGCAGCAGCAGCAGCAACAGCCTTTCTTCCCGGACCCCATGTCAGCATTCGTACAAGAAAAAAGGAAAAGCAAATAAGGCAGAGGCGGCGGAATGAGAATGGGTGGCCTCGTGTCCATGGCCACAGAGCCACAGTCATCTCGAGCCATGAGGCTGGCACTGCGAATGGGCACGCAGCAAAAAAAAAAAAAGCAACGCGCACCAGAGAATTTTAAAAAAGCGGACTCTGCAGCCGAAGGCAACTCTGCCCCCCTCGCCTCATCCCATCTTATCTATCGAGAAACACGCACACATACGCACAGCGAGAAAGAAGAAAAAAAGAAAATAGTGATTATAACAAAGAGTGTTCTATTTGCAGCGCCGCCCCCGTTGCGGGGTCGCGAATTAACGTGTAGTCCTTCTTGAACACCTCAGATTCAAAAAAGGCATTAAGCGCTTCTCTCGATATGTTCGCCGTGCAGTGCTCCAGCTGAGCGACGTCGATGCGCACTTTGGTTGGCTCCACTCCGCCGGAAATTTGTCGTTCAAAGGCGCGGATGGAGTGCACCGCCACCTTAATGTGGTGCTGGATGAGTGGCAGCGGCTCCATCTCTGAGTCAGAGTACTTTCGAAAGCGATTTTCCATCGCGCTGCGCAGACTGTACTTCTGCGTCTGTATAAAACAACGCAGAAAGAGAGAGATAGCGGCGTTAACGTCTTCGTCACGGACAAAATCGCGAAGGTACAGACGCGCATGCGCCTCCGCAAGACGAATGACAGATTCCATGTGACGAACTGTGATTGCCACACCGCCGTGCTTCGACTCCTGTCGAAGCTCCGTGTAAAGCCGTGCGATGGTGTTTGCGTCAATGTTTGACACACGCGGGTGACAGTGTGCCTTGGCGTAGAGGATGTACTTACGCAGCAGTGGCTGGGGCAACGGCTTGCTGCTGGACGGGTCCTCATCCTCCTCCAACGGCTTCTCCTGAAGGGCATGGCGCAATTCCTGCAGCCGCTCCTCGGCGGCGCGGCGCTCCTCCCCCGTCGCGGCATTCTCCAGAGCGTAACGAAGTTTGGCGAGCTGCTGGTGCAGCTCTCGCTCGGTGCGTTTGCTCTCCTCCTGGGAGCGTGGGTGGTTGCGGATGTGGGAGTGGCAGATAAACGTCGCCAGCTTCTCGTCCAGCTCCACGTTCACCTCGTCGCGGACAACGAACAGCAGGTCAAAGCGGGAGAGAATGGGGGTGGTGAGGTTGACGTTTGCGTCGAAGGAGAGCGAGGGATCGTAGCGCCCGCCGATGGGGTTGGCCGCCGCCGCAATGCAGCAGCGCGCTGAGAGGGTTGTCACGATGCCGCCGCGGGCGACGGATATCGTCTGCTGCTCCATCGCCTCGTGAATGGAGGTGCGGTCCTGGTCAGACATCTTGTCGAACTCGTCGATCAGGCAAATGCCGCGGTCAGCGATGACCAGCGCCCCGCCCTCCAGCACGAAGTCCCCGGTCACGCTGTCCTTGTGGACGGAGGCCGTCAGCCCCACCGCCGTCGAACCCCGCCCCGTTGTGAACACCGCACGATTTGCCGTCTTCTCCACAAACTTCAAAAACTGGGACTTCGCACACCCCGGATCCCCAACGAGTAGCACATTGATGTCGCCACGAATACGGTGGGACTGGTCCCCACCCACGTCCTTCGGCACCCCACCGAGCATGGCAAGGAGCAACCCAAGCTTAATGTCGTCCCGACCGTGAATACTTGGGGCAATGGAGCGGAGCATCTTACGCTTTAGATTTGGGTGCTTGGCCAACTCCACGATGCGGGCCCGTTCGTCGTCGGGAAGCCTAAAACTCCCGACCTCCGCGCTGCGACGCACCACGTTGTTGGCATGTAATACGGTGGTGAACACGGGAAACCCTTGACGACTGTTCAAAAGTGGGTCAAAATTATTCCTGTAAATGCCCGTGACATCCACTTCCTCCCCCGGATTGGCGCGGTCGATGAGGTCGTTTGTCAGTATCACCTCCAGGCTTCGTGGGAGACGACCGGGTGGCACCTTTCCCGGAGATTCCTGCAGCAGCACCGTTTGGTGGTTGCGGTACTCAGTGAGGATCATGTTGACTCGGAACGGGCCTTTACTATGGCAGCTGGGGCACATGCTCACCCGCTGCTCCTTGTCACCCCGTTGGTAAATGGGTCCAATGATGTAACTGCAGCGCACACAGTCATACCTAACCGCCTGCATCTGGGGGTAAACGGGGGAGCGTCGAATCACAACCCCCTCCACGCGCACCAAGACATTCATGTGAATTTGACGAAAGTCACGAATAGGGTCACACAACGGCAAGTCACAAATGCGGACAAAAATGCGCCGGTGCACCTTCCGGTAGTGTGGAAAAAGACGAAAGACAAAGTAGTTTGCGGCATCCTCTAGCAACTCAATCATGAGATCGGGGACGTCCACCAACCACAGCGCTAGCACCGAGTCGTAGGCGCGGCCCAAGTGGCTGTAACTCAACTGAAAACTCTGTTCATTTTCCCGCGTCATTAAATTCACCTTTTGCTCATACACGCTCACACCATGCTCCACGTAGTTCAGGTAGAAGTTGTAGATGCGATTTTTAACGACCCGCCGTGGAAGCTCCTGTGCGAGCCACTCCACCAAGTCGCACTGCGGTTGCCGCCAATCAAAGTCCATGGCCTCCATGTCACCACGGACGTACACGCCATCATCCTTGCTGTCCCCGGCGTTGTCCGTGCCTCCATCCCCCACATTGTTGAAGTCGCCCCCACCTCGCCCCGCTTCATCCCCCCCAGCGTCCTCAGCAAGCGCTGCGGCATCGTAGGAGTCACTCCCCGCGCTGATGAGCGACTCCTCGTCATCAACGTCGCTAAACACACCCTTTTCCAGCTCCCGCTGCTCCTCGCGGAGCCGCTGCTCCATCTCCCTCCGCCTGTCCAGCAGTGCATCCACGGCCAGGCGACCCGATTCTGAGATGACAGACACGTCACTGGCGTCATCGATCCAGTCGCCGTCGTCGGCGACGTCGTCCTCCGCGAGCTCGCTCTCATCCTCCGGGTCAAGGTAGTCCCGCTCGTAGTTATCCCCAAAGAGGTCCTCGCCGAGCTCCTCCTCGTCCTCCCCACCCCCATCGTCATCGCTCTCGCGTGCGTGGCTTCTTCGCTCCTCCTCGCGTGGACGCTTCGGACGCGGCGGCATGAGGGCGCGTGGTGCGCAAACAACCGCGCCGCCCTAGCGTGATCGGCCGCTGGCGGTGAGGAGAGTGGCAGCGGGGGGCGAGTGGTGTGGGGGGAGAGAGAAAAAAAAGGAAAAAAGCGGGAAAAGGAGCGACGGATGAGGCTCTCTCTCCCACACACACAGACACAGACACAGACACAGACACACCGCAGCGGGGGAGAGGAACAGTGTGAGTCCCCATCGCCCGAGCTAACAGCCCAGGAGGCGAAGTCGGTCAAAGAGGAATAAAAAGAAAACGAAAAAAAAGGGAAGAGGAAACAACAAAGCGCCGCATCGCGCAGGGAATTAAAAAAAAAGGCGGAAACAAAAAAAAGAACCATCAAAATAGAAAAAACAACAACCAAAAAAAAAAGGAATTTTTTTTTTCTAATTAAACAAACTCTGTGTCGTTGTTGCTGTTGTCGCTGTTGCTTGGGATTCAGCAGAAGCGCTTCTCAGAAACATGCATCCCCCCAGGCGCAGATACACGCATACTGTTTACTCGAGAGGGAAGGTTCCACCACTAAACGCCTTTCGGCAACATGTTACTCTCGCTGCCTGCACTAGACAACCTTGCGAGAAGACCGTCAGGACTCTGAACCGCTTCCACGTTGATGTACTCATCCTCGCCCACCAGCACACTGGGAGGCTTCTCGAATGGCTTTCCTGTGAGAAAACGCTTGCGGCGCGTCTGACGTCTTCGCCTCATTCCCAAACGGGTCAGCACTGCCTGTGTGACCCACAAGGGGGAGGTGTAGCCCTCCTCCCATGCACGCAACGATAGCAGCATTTTAACCTCGCCCAAATACAAAGTGCCTTGCAGGTCATGAGGGCGGTAGCTCGGCCACCATGTCAATGCCTCGGAAGGAATACGCATATCCGAGGTGTTGTACATCTTGGGACAGAACGCAAGCGACGCCTCATCGCTTGGCACAGATACTGCAGTTGGGGAAAGCTCCCAGACGCCGGCAAGGTAATCCAGAGCACGGGCTGGGACCCACATTTGAGAATACACCCGATTTGCGCACTGTGCCCGTGCGCACTCCACCAACGCTACCCCGGAGAGCGGGATCTGAATGAAGAAAAAGGTTGGAGTCCTCATGATCATTTCCTCCACCACGGCCGGTTCCTCGAACTGTTCCATGTTAAAAAAGCAGAGACACTTCGCCTGGGAAAAAGGCACCTTGAAAAACAGAGTCAAATTGCACACTATACCCTGCTCCTGCGGCTTCAGCCGCAAGAGTTTAGCGGTTTGCGGGGTGTGAAGTAGGAAGTAGGGATGTGAAAACCCCCGAAGCAGGGAAAACTTCCGGAGCGACTCCTTGAACTCGGAGCCTAGCAGGCAAGCTGTGAGGCCGGGCGTAGCGCCGAACAGCACAGGATCGGACAGCTTTGCCATCTCCTCCGCCATGCGCTGATGCCTAACGGCTGCGGCGGATTCCGCCGCGAGGGAAGCCAGCAGGGGGTATCCGCGCATCTTTTCTGCCCCCACAAAAACTCCACTTGCCGCCAAATCAATTTCCCTCTGGGTGGGAAACACGGTGAAATCCTCAAATTGGTCGCTGCAGAAGTACTCCACAGCCTGCACCTGTCCGTGCCCGGAAAAATGTGACACAAATATTGGTGGGCCGTCCCTCATGCGGTTGGCGTCAATGCGAGTCCCGTGCGCTTCGCCTTCGCTCGCTGTTAACCATGTGCGGGAGATGTATCCATGGCGAGACGCCTTTCGCCGCATCAACTGAGCCACCGCAAGGGGAAACAGCTGGTTTGTGAATGTGTGAGGTACATATGAAGTACAGTCTGTAGGATTGTATCGGCCCGGAAATGGGGTTTCCTCGGCGTTCACCCACTGGCGATTTTTCTTCCAATGCCGCAGCCAATAAGGGCTTTTAAACCTCTGCCGGCTCCCGTCAAGGACAATCGAAGCAACGTGAAGCTCACGCTTTGGGGCTCCGGTTTGCGTCAGTGGCAGTGCCCTACCCACACCGCTTTTGATACCCCTCTGATAGTTCTCAAAAAATGCGGCATCCGTCGTGTGGGCGGCGTTGACCAAAACACTTTCAAATCCAATGCCTTTCACGTCGGTGGCCCCGCAGCCCGGCATCAGTGACACGTCGCAGAGAATCGCATTTGGCAAAAGCGCCACACCCAACTTCATCTTTTCCACCAGCCTTTTCGGCACCCACACATCACTCGTGAGACCATGACGACGCGCAAAGGTAAGAAGACCATGACTAACCTCCTCTGTGAAGACGGCGCCAGTGAAGAGGCGAGGCGCCCTCCGCCGTGGTGTGGCCATAGCCCCTCCCTGCTGGGCGCAGACGAGAAGACAGACAGCGGATGCCTTCACTGTCGCACCCAGAGGTGGCACCCAATGCATCAAAAAACGAAATCAGGCAGCGAATAACACAATGCAGCGAAGACGGCCACCAGAGGGGCAGTAACGACACAGCGGAGAAGACGCGTTGACGCCTTACAGACTTTAGCAGCAGCAACAGCACCAACAACAGCAATAATAATAATAACAATAATAGAAAATGATTGCTTACTGTGTCCCTCATTTGCAGAGCACCACCGCATCCGCAATAGCAGCAACTAAGATGAAGAACGCGGTGAGGAAAGCCCTGTGCCATGCAGCGTCCGCCGCAATTGGGCCATGTGAACGGCGAGCAGCTCGCCCACTTCATTCCCAGACGCCTTTAGTTCCTCCGCCACATTCACCCGCTCCAACGCGTACCGTAAAACGCGATGACGGCGGGTGCGAGACTCCACAAGCAGCTGGGCGTTGCTCGGCTCCAAAGACACAACAGAGGTGTCGGAAGGCGCGCCGTCGCCGGCCTCGGCGTCGCCACTAGCAGGAGCCACACGCGCCATGCGTCCTGAAGGTGCGCGGCCGCGTTTCCCGCCGCTGTGCGGGGAGTCATCCTCACTCCGCCGCTCTTTCGTTGGACCCGTCCCGGAGGAGCTCGCCAGGGTCCCTGCGATCTCGCGGAGACGGTGCATCTCCTCCTCGATCCTGCTGTCCAGCTCCCTGAGACGTCGAATGTACCGCCAGGCATCCGACCTGGCGCTCTCCGAGCTCGCCACGAAAACCTCAAACTGGTTCATTGCAGCCTGCGATGCACACAGCAGGAATCCGCAGACCGGGGAAGTTGCTCACTTGTCCGCTCCACCCACGCCCATCCAAGTGGCGGCGTGAACGCATATGTGCATGCCGCGGCATCCATGCAACAGGTGAAAACAAAGAAAAAATAATAATAGCAATCAATAATGAACAAACAAATAAAACTAAGGGAAGGCAGCAAACGGCACAGGTAGCAACCGCCGAACGTAACTAGACGCAACAGAAAAACAGGCACAACTATAACCAACAAAGAATTTAAAAAAAATACCTTCATGCAACGATAACGATCCACGCATGAGTGAATAATTGCGGTGGCACTGCTCCAGCCTCCACCCCTCCTACAAAAACAAAACAAAAACAAAAAAGGAAATCAAAAGCATTGTCACAGCAGCATTGGCAAGAGCAAAGTACGTACGAGCTTGAACAAGAGAATATGTGTAGAAAGATTTCAAGCAAGAGTTAGTTCTCGCTTCCAAGAAAACAAAGAAAACACGCAAAGCTTCAGCGACGAAACCCTTATGCTTTGCTTTTTTTTGCGTAACAGAAAGGTGAGAAGAGCAAAGAAAAATGCCGCGTATTTTCAACCACGTTGGCTTTGAAGCTACACAGACACACGTGCGTGTCTGGGTGTCTGTGTGTATATGAATTTGTATACACCCGCTCAGTACCCGACAGAGAGAGTGTGCGCGCACGACACCTCCCCCTCCGCTCGACACCAGGAAGCGCTGAGGGAAAAGGTGGCGGTGAGGAGGGACTTTTCTGCGCCCTCGCAGCCGCCTGGAGGAAAACGGCCCGCCCCGCCCTTCTGGGGCCCGTCGGCGGCAACCGCGGGGGTCCGGACCCCCGCGCCACACAACGTCCCTTTCACCGCCGGAAGGATCCGCGTGGCCGACCGCGCAGGCGCCCTCCTCCCGCCCAAGG